CATATCGTACTGTGTATGACTGTGTACGTGACAAATAAAATTTGAATTTGAATTTGATCACCGGTGTGAATGGTGATGGCATGGGTAGATGTGTGAATGGGTGGATGACTGGTTGTGCAAAGCGCTTTGGGGTCCTTAGGGACTAGAAAAGCGCTGTACAAATACAGGTCATTTACAAACCAACCAGACATAGAAGCGCTGCACAAGCAGAAGACCACGGCTGCAGTGATAGCTGTAGCTATACTGCGTGAGGAAGAGGGAGCTCTAGAACATTCTGAGAGAGGAGCTCTGAAAGACACGGAGGGTCAACAACAGTGGTCTCTGTGGTAATCGGACCCCCATGCTGGGCATGCCAGGATTAACATTTGACAACTCCTGTTAAACGATATCACAGCAAAGCATGTAATCGACATGCTGGTCCACAGTGTCCAGTGTGAAATGGACATGCAATCTAGTTTTGTTTGCACCCTTTTCTGTTTATTTAATGTTGTGTATGTAACGGTGACTTCAGTAACAGCAACCGGGGAAACTGGTAAAAAAGAGAAAGTTGACTTGTTGCTTACTGGACTCTGACATCTCCAGTCCAACAGCTGAAACCAGAAACGATGCAAATCAAATTTCTAGTGAATCTTTCAGATATTTGAATTATTGTGTGCTTACAAACTGAATGAGTTTGACTCCTTCACAAAATAAATAACATCTCTGCATCAGAGAGTCAAGTATCACACGAGCAGGCTGGCATGCAGGGACTGCATTTGTATTCACCTGGCAGAGCGCATCCTTCTATCCTAGCGTCTGAAAATCAGATCGTAGGAGCAATGGTAGAGTTAGAAAGCATGTGGAGAGGCCATTAAACTTGGCAACAAACAATACATTTGTGTCAGTCCACAGCTTCAAGGCATTCGCAATCTGACATTTACATGCATTTACAATAAAAGTGCTGTTTGAATATGAAATGTTTTTGTGTAAATATCATCACTCGTGAGCAGGAAGAAATTGAAAAACTTTAATGGCTTTTTGGGTGTACTTTTACATGCATAAAAAGCAAAAGACACCATGAAAAAAACAAACTACCTCTTTGTTTTATTATCTTTACATTCCTCTCAAAAACAAACTGGAGTTAAAACCAATTAGTACATGCGGAGATAATGAAAGATAAAAACACATAATTGTTGATAATTGCGATTTAAACTATTTCATACAAATGT